AAAAAGTCAGAATTCTGACTTTTTCCCATACTAAACTGAAATAAAATCTAAAAACGGTTAACTCTTTCTTTTTTTTTTTTTCCAGTGGCCCTAATCCTCTTCCATATAGATGAATATTTAGCTTCAGTGAAATGGTTTAGGAATGTGGAAGATGACAAGCGCTTCCTGGGTAATTGAGAAACTGAGCAGAACTGATGCATGTTGCACAACATAAGAATAGATGCTTTGAGTGCACCATTAAAGCAATGGTTAATGGCAGTGTGGGCTGTGATGCAAACAGTTTAGTATGTGTGTGGATAGCACGCCTACAACTCAGACAGAAAAGGCGTGCGTAGAAGCATTGAGAAAAGCAGTTACTGTAGCACAATTGCTTTTTCTTTTACTGACCGACCAAAGCTGCATTGGTTATTTATCACTAGGTTAAACATTGAACAGGATAAGTTAAAATTCTTAAGGTGGACATTCACTCAGACATGTTTATAGAGTGGCGAGAACCAGCAGGATGACTTCCATCCTGATGCTGTTTTATCTGAAGACGTGCATTAATGGTGCAAGAAAACAGAAGCAGAGATAACAGCAATCACTATAAAGTCTCATTAAATATATAAATCAATGTATTTCCAACATCTGATGAAGATGAGAAAATATTTGAAAAGTTTTGTCCTTGTTTTTGAGATTCAAAGTCCTGCACTGCAAAAAACTAAATCTTGATAAGTCATTTTTTTCTTAAAATAAGTGCATTTGTTCTTGAATTGAGGAGATAAAAGAGAAATTTTGCCAATGGAACAAGACAATTTACATTTAAAATAAGAAAACACAATTACATTGTCTTATTTCAAGTGAATACTATCTAATTATCTTATTTTAAGAGTAAAAATACTGATTCCATTGGCAAACTATCTCATTTACCTACTCAAATCAAGGGTACATAAACTTAATTTAAGAAATTTTTACTTATTTCTAGATTGTTTTTCCAGTGTGAGAATAACTGCTCAGTTAGGCAACAGATAAAATCTTTCTGACCGCATTAGATTTAGAGCAAGTAAGATATCTTTTCAAATAGATTTCTAAGAAATTGTAATTTAGTTATACAACAGGGGATGCATTGACTAAAAGGAGCTTAACGGGAAAAACTGAAAATATAAAATAGCTAGACAACTTCTGGTTCAATGTTTCCGACTTATTCAGAGTTTCAGCAGAATTCTGCAGTTTAAAAATGTAACCCGGCAGCATTCTGACAGCGATAAACAAAACACTCACTGTTCGTTGACGACAAAGATGCAGTTGTCTTGTGAGGGTAAGCCCGAGACAGGATGTTTGCAGGTCACCTTCCGCTCATTGTGGCTAATGAGAATGGAGAGAGAGAAAATAAAGATTAATAACTCGATGATGCGTGAACAAGTTCATTGTTAATGTGCAATCCACCTTTCATGGATATGTTCAAATGTTTGTGAGCGTTTAGGTCGAGCTGCCCCCCCCCATACTGACAGCATGGTGATACTGAGGATGCCACCCACCCATCCCGCCAATCATAGCTGACCACGGTCATTTCCACCTTGACATAATTACATCATGCTACAGGCCCTACTTTACATGGCAGCCTGCTTGTCAGTGGAAGTCCCTGAATAAATGCTGCCTGGAGCAGCTTCTAACATCGTTCCTTAGAATCAGAGATCGTTAGAAATGATGACTCTATTTAATCATAGCAACGAGCATGGAGGAATCAATAAGACTGAGTTTGAATTCTGTCATATATAATTTGATTGATTCTGTATATCTGTGTATATAAGCAAAAAGACAATGATGTGAAATCTGGCTTTAAGATATGTAAATAAATAGTACTAAACGGAAATAAACAGAAAAAATGTCGTCATTTTTGTGAAGTAGGGGGTAATGCTCCATGACAGAAGGAAACCCTCAGCAGCTAGACATACTGACAACTTTAATTCTCCCACTGTTTTCATTAAAATAGGGGGAAAAATTATTATTGTGCATCCAGGAAGCTTTTTCATTTCAAAATGTCAGAAACTGAACTCAACGCTATTTCTGACATTTTGAATTGATAAAGCTTCCTGGATGGGATGCGAAACGTCTTCAAACTTGGAAACAAAGTCCAGTGGATTTAACTTTTTTGAAAATACTGAATAGATTTTATTTTATATATATATTAGGGGTGGAACGATTCACAAAATCCACGGTTCGGTTCGATTCACGGTTTCGTGGTCACGGTTTTCGGTTCGATTCGGTATATGTTGATTGTTACACCGAAATCCCATAAAAATTTATGAAATTAATGAAAAAATCCCCCAAAGAATAATGTATTGTAATTATTTTAAATGATCCGCAGAAACCATGGATAATTTCGGCATGTTTTGCTGCTTTGAATTTAATCATCT